TAGGGTTTGCGTAATCTTTAAGATTCTTGAACTTAATGCTCATGTTCTTGGGGAATAACCGGGGAACTAGGGTTCTTCCAAGATCGTGAAGGTTTAGGGTAACAAAGGATTGAGCTCTAATTACATGCGAAAGAATTGATTAGATTGATACTAAGGACGATTAACATTAAGAAGGAATTCAACAGTAATAAAGAGATTGAAGGAAATCGAAACCCTAGCTACGTTCTTTTACATTAATTAATTCAGATCTTTAATTTCTTGCTTTTAATTCTTGTGATTAATTAGTTCTAATATTTCAAATTTCAAATTCAAATCCTGTTTCCAAATACAACTTTGATTGTCCAACTTAAGTTGCGATAGTGAATTAGTGCTTGAGTATAATCCTCGTGGGAACGATCTCTTATTCAATCATTATATTACTTGTACGATCGGTGCACTTGCCGTGAGTCCCAACAATTATTCTTATATAAATATATATATATATAGGTAAAATCATTTCTGCAGCCGCTTTATGTACAGCAACGACAGATGTATGTTTATGATTCCTCATATTTAATGTTTTCATTCTTTGTATGGTTATGGTTTCTCACATTTAATGCTTTCAAGTATATATATGACAAATATTTGATTGTTGTACGTACAGCAGCTGCTGAAATGTAAACTCCGTATATATATATATATATATATATATATATATATATATATATATATATATATATATATATATATAGTGCAGGATATTTTTATACCAGTATATGAACTTACACCAAAATAAAATTACAGGTGTTCAAAATAAAATTACACACTATGTATTACGAAAAATATATAGGCATAATTTTTTTTTTTTCGTATCTCTCTTCGGGAAATATGTAAATGCAGATGTTGTATTTTTATTCGGCGGATATCGGTAGTATGGTAATATATTAAAAAATTTGCCATAATCGGTCCAAAAAACAAAGACGCGTGGATGTCGTTAGATTGGAAGTTGTGCACAACTTTGTCAAATGTGACTTACAGCAACGTATATTATAACTCTAGCTGCTTGTAGAAAGGCAAGTTGGTGAACATAAATGACAATTCCATTATAGGGGGGATGTATATATGTCTTACAGGTTGTACACTTTGGAGGGGATTTAACGTGCCTCTTAAAACTACTGTCTAGCTTAATCATGGCTTCATTCGGATTATGCAAAAAATTTCCCGGTATAGATACCATTTGACCTATGTATCTAATTTGAATGAGAGTTAAATGTCAAAATTCGAATTCGGAGTGAATGCTCTCACGTGTGGTTTTACATGATTATGTCATGAAAAATATTCTTGACTGCCCATAGATAAATTAATGGTGAGAAGAGATTAAAGAGATATACTAGAATACAGGGCGGGAAAAAAAATTGATTTGTACATCAACTAAGAAGAACCTTTTATATGACCAGATTACACGTGAAAAACTCCACTCCTATTAAAGTTAGACTTGAATTTTCATATATGGCCAACAAGTAGATTGGGACTAGAGCAGTTCGAGAACATTAATCTCAATGTTAAATTTGTGGGCAAGTCTACGGTGAACCTAAAGGGGAGTATTGATGCACCACTCGTCACAAAAATTTAATTGTCACTAACCGTGCAAGCTTGTGTATTTTATTAACTTTTAATCTAGTGTTATATGATAATTAGTGAAGGATCAACTTTCAACTTGACCAAACTAATAGGGTCAGTTCATTGTATTTTCTCAGCATATATACCATATTCATAACGTAACGTAATCACTTTTGCTTAATTGTTAGTGAAGCTTGAAGCTACTTATAAAAAGTAAGACCCCATGTTTCATCCGATTAAGGTTCTTCTGTCAGCAAATGACATCACCAGATACCATAATCACATTGGTCATTCAAGACAATATAAGTGACCAATTCAAAAATTAGGAAATGTCATTTATTATCCCATCTCCTAAGAGTTTGACTCGCTTTCGAACTTCCACACATTCAGATAATTCCTTCTATAAATAAAGGGTTAAGCTTTTCAAATATATATCTTCTAATTCCTATCTCTTAACTATCAATGTACACACACCATCTCTTTTAAGTATTTTCTTCTTACACAGTAATTTATCATCTCTTGCATACATTTCTTCCATAAACTATAAGGATACAAATCCTATATTAATCACGATCCTTTTGAATCAAACACACAACTATCGTGGCTTGATGGTTCCCTATTTACTGTTTGGTTAAAAAAAAAAAACCGCTAGTTAGCTTCTGAAAAGTAAAATTTCACATTTCAATTATTACCCCAATATAAGCCTCGCCTTAGGAACTAAAAAAGCCTTGTAAATGTAGAATTAAAGATAAAATGTACTTGAGGTAACAAAAAAAAAAAGCCTTCAATTTAGAATTCAAGATAAAATGTACTTGTAAATGTAAAGGAATTAGAATTGCATTAAATAACTTCATCGAAGCAAAATACATGGAACTGAAACTGATTAAAGTACAATAACTTGTAACTGAAAAGCGATGGAAAGCGAAGGTAAATTTTAATTGGATTGGATCGATTTTCGGATGGGTTGATGAAAACCGATCCAATCCAAACCGATCTAATATATTAATTATCCTCCACCTACTTGTCCTTTCTCCAATCATAGCCCAAAAATTTTTAAATTCAAGACTCATTAACTCATCAACTAAACCCAAGAAAAAATTTAGTCGCGTCTCATCAACTATAGTATTGTTTATTGATATTTTTGTATTTCAATTTTTTTTTTTTACAAAGCCAATATATACAAAAGATATTATTTGCACAATAATCATGAAACTAATTTTAGGATATTCAAAAAACCAAAAACCGACCCAATCCAAACCGAAAAAAATTGGATTGGATTGGATCGGATTTGAAAAAAAATCTAAACCGAATGGATAATTACATGATCAAACCGAAGAGATTGGATCGAATGAGTTTTGCTTCCAAAACCGATCCAATCCAGACCGCGAACACCCTAGCTCTTGGTTTGTGATGGGAGGACCCTTTCTTCAGTGCATTATAGACCTATTTATGGATGCGGAGTTGCCAAATTACTGCTTTAGCCCTTCAACACGCCTTAATGCACATCTTCCTTATTATTTAGGAGGATATTCTTGGTTCCTTGATCCTCAATCAAATGTTTACAAAGTATTTTATATTTGAAAATTATAAAAAATGGAGAATAGATCCTCTCCTTTGACATGAGGTTACGTAAACTCTCATGTGATATGAGATTACATAAGAGGATCTCAATCATTCAAATATAAATCAACGATAACGGGAGAATATATTAATATAAAGATAAACAAAGGATAAAATATATGCAAGATAGTATGCAGTACAGAATAAGATAAAACTCTTGCTTCTCAAGCAAGGTTCAATGCAATATTACTTGTGGACAAAGTAGCATTTTTGCAACAGTATCCGAGATGAATTAAATATGTGTGCTCTTATTGCCGGCCACACGCTATTCATCAAACAAGTTCATGACATGATCAAATCTTTATTCTTACTATCCTCGTTGATGATATGGTAGTTGTAGGAATCAATCCCGATAAATAATTAAGTTGAAGTCTTTTCTAGAAAAAAGAATTTGAGATCATGTCACTTATCGGACGTTTAGAAGAGGAGAAATTTTCTTAAACCCGAAAAATAATTATTACTGAAATGTAGTGTGAAATATATTTGGTCTGGAATGTTAGTAAAAGATATTTGGTATGCTAAAATTTTCTTGGGAATTTATGGCTAATTTTATTGAGTATGTGTTTGGTTGGTTGTGAAATATTAGTGAGAATGTGAAGTTATTTTACGAAAATAACCCCACTTTAAACTTGTACCAATCTGTTTGGTCGACGTACTATTTTCATGAAGGTTAATTTTGTCTATAAATTCACGTCTCAATTTCTAGTTCCCCGGGCAACAAAGCATTCCATCCAATTTATGGAATTTCACTTCTGGATACCGTACAACAAATTGCACGACATGGTTTTCCGAAAAACGTTTGGTGTCTGGATTTTTTTCCTTTTTTGCTTTACCAAACATGGGTTTGGTATTTGTCTAAGCATGCTTTCCTGAGGAATGAAAAAAAAACCCGGCAACAAACGCCCCCTTAAACTTTTCTACTTCCTTGGGATTGAAGTCATCTCCTTGAAGAGAAGATGTTGGAAAAATCACTGCCTTATATGTAGCCTATATTGGCAAATAATAAGCTAATTTAGCTTATCTAGGAAAACCTCCTTGGGATCCTCAAGTGCCTTCTCTGGGGTTTACCAAAAAAAGAAAAAGAAAAAAACAAAACAAGTGCCTTCTTTTGGTGTTAAGGTGGAGAGTCTTGGAGAGCCACTTCTTAGACTCGGTTGTCTTCTTAGGCTTTGTCATCTCTGAAATACTTACACTTATGTGCTAGTCCCCTCTAATGTTTTCCAGTTTAAGTAGCTTGCTTGTTGATCTAGGTTCTTTAAAGTGAATGGTATACAATGTTAATAAGGATGAAGTTGATTTAAGTTGAAGGTCGAGGTATAAATGGCTTGATTCACTTTAAATAAGTAGAGGATTCCCCACCCCACCCCTAAAAAAAAAAAGAGCAGAAACAAAAAAAAACAAAAAAAATCTATTTTGACATAATTCAAGAGTAATAAGTGAAAGGAATGAAGGATTAAGGATCACCCACCATCCTTCAGTTATCAAGCATATCATATGAACTAACGGTAATATAACATGAAATTATAATAACAGAACTACAACCTGAACTTTTATGTTCTTGCAACTAAAAGGTATATAAGAACAGATACCATAGAAATGGATGGGAAATGGAGCGTTGAAATTCGCTAAAATAACCAAAATATTTTGAAATTCTTAATTGAAATAGAATCATCATTATCAATAATTTCGAAACAACGTAGTTTTTTAAAGATTAGGGTAATAATGATTGGAATCGTTCTGCATCCCATGCCTTTAAACTAACCCCCCCATTGCACTTCCCAGGCCATTATCCAGCATTGATTGCAAAATATTAAATTACGAAAAATGTATATTATCAGTAGCATACAGTTAAAAAGCAAAATTTTGATGAAATTGGCATAAAACCAAAAAAACGATTACACTAACAATGTCCTAGGACATCATCCTAACGGTGATGGACCAACAGTATCATCCAAAACTTACATCATCTTGAATGGTACCAATCTCCAAGTTAAAGCCATATAGAAATTTGAAAACCTACAATTAAGCAGCACCTTTTCCCTTCTTCCTCTGGATTTTCTTCATATAAAACTCCAGCTCCTTACCTTCCAGAATGTACCTACCCAATTCAGGGAGAGAAAAAAAAAGGAACAGTAAACAACAAAAACAAAGTTGGCTCAAAACAACATGTTCTAACACACAGTTTAAGCATAAGCATACCCATCAGCTCTGCCACATTGACCAGGGCGAGAAGAAATACAAGCCAGCAATCGGCCACCACCAAACTGCTCTTCAATGTGGGGATCAAGCTTGCGATCTTTCTGGCGCTTCTCGATTTTTCTCTGCACATGGTTACTTTTCTTAGTTTCTTCAGCAGCAGCTTCACCCTCCTGCAAGTTTGACATCAAAGGACCAGGAAATACATTTCAATTTTGAGAGAAAAGTCAACAACTGCTACAAAGGAGAATGCAGGCTGTGTAACCCACAAAATAATAACAACATAAAGTACCATTCATGGCAAATATATTTAGTTTATTCATGGAAATAATAGTAAAGAATGGTGGGTATTATGCATTACATATTAAAGATTTGTCCCAGCAAATAATCATGATTTTAATTATGAATTACAGTTTTGTGGAACACAAATGCAGAATGATAGTGTAATGACAGAAGTAATACAATATTTAAAAAATAAACAAATTAACTACTTTGAACATATTTTGCATCCAACAGAAACTCATGCCTAGTGATTTCTTTCAATTTCAACACATCTCCTGCCCAATATAATTTCAAAACGTAAAAGTACAACTATTATTCAAGAAACAAATGAAAGTATAACAATATACATATAATGGGGAAAATTTTATAAACTGAAAAAATTCCAACAAACCTCTGTAGACTCCTTCTTGGATGCTACTTTCTTTTTTCTGCCAACATCAACACCATAGTGCTGAAGGTACCACTGCTTGAACGGAGCAGCATCAACCTGAACAATAGCACTCCTAACGAGGGTCTGAGTTCGCACAAGCTCATTGTTTGAGGCATTGTAAACCACATCTAGAAGACGAGTCTTGCGAGTTACTGCTTCACTACCCCATGAGTAATTCCCAGTATCCAATCTCAAGGCCCTCCATTTCACATTGCCACCTCTAACACGAATCCTCCTGACTGTCTTGTTGCTTGATAATTTAGTGTTAGCTGGCTGGCGACCGAGCTCATACCTAGATAAATCCAGCCAAAACATCTTAGTTCAAATTAAGAATTAATTGGGATAGAATATCACATTATAGACAGCAATGAATAACATGTTCAAATAAACACCATTAAAATTAAGATCTGAACCAAGGTGCAAACAGTGAAGAATCCTAGCCACATTTAACAGCAAAGAGTAACAACTTATAAGGAATATATGATCATTCTGCTTAGTGCTTACTAACTCATTTTGCATAGAGATTGCGTAACTATGCCATTATTGAGCCTCTGTGGCTCTACGTTTACATTCAGTTTGTTTGGCATAGAGTATCTCTCTCTCTCTCTCATGATTTCTTCTTTAACAAAAATTAAAAAAACCCAAGAGTAGTTGATCTAGTGACAATCCGGCTAGACCCCAAGATTTGACCTGCCTAAAGGGTAGCGGGTTCGATTCCTGAGAGTCGTACCTCCAAGAAAGGGTGGAAAGACTCAAACCCAAAACCGGATTAGTTAGGCATGTTGGGGCTTTGGACACCAGTTGATATGTACTAAAAAAATAATTAAAAAAAAAAAACATTGTACCCAAAAAAATACAAACTATATGATCATTTAAGTAGGAAGACCAGAAATTATGCCACATAAACTTACAGAATTGTATAATATAGTCACTTCCAAGCAGAATAAAAGCTGAGGGCAGTAAAAAAACTAAGAGAGAGATAAGGCCTGTTTGATTGTGTTCTAATTTTTTTAACTCAGAACTGTTTCATAGAATAGTTAATGAAATAGGTATTTCTGTGTGTTTTTGTTTTGAAAATTAAAAGTCAAAATACAAAACAAAGACAACTAAGTTACGTTCTCTAAATTTGATTCTAAAAACTAAAATATAGTTATAATTTTTAGAACTATTTTTACAAAACAGGTTTATTAAACTGTTTTTTTTTTTTTTTTGAAACTCAAAAAACTGTTTTTGAAAACGTAATTTAAACATGCCCATAAATTCACATGCTAATTCATAACGAAGATGAAAGAAGAATGATCAAATACAACTCTAAATGATATACATACAAAGTGGAATTTCGAACATGTTTTGGTTTTGTATGACTATAATGTAAATTTCTAACGCTTCAACCATTTGAATTCTCCATTTCCCAACTGAAATCTAAAAATTCGAAAATGAGTAAAGCTAGATCTGACAGATGCACTCGCATATATGAACTCATCCATCAAAAACCCCATAAATACAGTAGCCACTCTACATATCTTAAATACAACAGTACACATTCTTATTCGAACTAGTCAATTTCACAGGCAACCAAAGATTACAACCGACAAAAAAATTAAATAAAATAAATAAGGATAACAAGGAAAAATAATAATCCACAAATCAATCAATACAACCACCAAATAAACACAAATATATCATTTAGCACGAAAACTACGACACTTTAAGCAGAAAATAATTATTATTTAAAAAAAAAAAAAAGGCATTACTTTCTCTTCTTTCTCCAGGCCTTCTTCTTGCCACCAGTGGCACGCCTCTTGTGCATAGAGTCCCTAGATATACCTGTTGAAGAACAAGAACAAAATCCATAAACACACAGATAAACACAGTTCTCATTGGGAATTGAACAATGACAGATCAAAACAAAACTATGAAATGAGCAATACCCATCTTGATCGAGCGTTGAACACACACACTCTCTGTCTCTAGCTTCCTCTCTCTGTGTCAGCCCCTCTCTTTGATAAAACCCTAATTCTATGAACGCTTGGATACAGACCCGGCCTCATTATCGTTCTTCTGGGTCATACAATTGGGCCCTAACTTGGGCATTTTTACGAACCCAACCCACCACACTTGACCTGACCCTAATATTTGTTATTAATAATAAATGAAGGGAAAAGTGTTTGTCATTTTAAATTTCAGAAAGTTATGTCATTTTAAGAGAGATACAGACACAGAAAATTTGAATTTTAAATTAAAAAAAATTACTCACTTTCTCTCTTCCATGATTTCCGTTTTCCTGTGTCTATCTCTCTCTTAAAATGACATAACTTATGTCATTTAAAATGACAAACATCAAACCCTTCATTTTAAATACAAAATAAAAATTATGGTATGAGTGTACAATAATTTAATTAAAAAAAAATATCAACAAATGATGGTAGCTCAATGGTGCCAAGGAACTGAGCAGGTAGGGGGTGAAAGCATGTATTTGATCCTTCTCAATATCGTTTTTGAGAGGAGTTTAAAACCTTAATCCCGAGACTCGTCCTGAATCGGACTAGTCGTGAAGAGATAAATCGATTGGAATACCTTTAAACAAAATCACCAATTCAATCGATAGGTTGGATGGAATAAAAATTGATTTAGTCATTTAACCACAATGCATATTTGACTCGTGACTTAATTATTAAGGTGATAAAACAGATTCAAGCCATCAAGTTCATCTTCCGCACGAAGGCGGATAAAATAGATTAAACCTGTCAAAGAACATGTTGACTTGTTGGGTTAATATTTTTATTAAAAAAAATATTAGTCTATAATATCGGGTCAAGTATTGGACCGGTCATGCATCGGATCCAGTCAAACCCCAATCAAAATCGATGACCCAGTCAGGTTATGTAGGTAAGAAATGTGTATAAAAAGAAAAAAAAATTACATGTTTTGCTTCCGATATATATTATACCAATATTAGAGTTTTATAATTCTCATTTAACATGAGAATTATAATTTTCCTACACACCCTTCGATTTTCGTGCTGACATGGGTCCTACATATAATTTTTTCTAACACATGGGTCTCACGTGCTTTTTATCTCTACAACATGAGATTTCAATTCTCTTTCAACATGAGAATTATAAAACCCTATTAGCATGATTGAAAAACATGCCTTGGTAAATCAAAAGGATATTGATTATAATAGGTATATTATTTAGCATGACCGGATGGACCATCTCGGATCAAATATGATGCGAAATATTACTGAAAATTCATATAATCATGCATTGAAGAACCAAAAGATTCTTTAATTTATTGAATTTTCTTGTACTGCTAATTCTCAAGAAAAATTGTCACCAGCTAAAGTTGAGATTCAATCTCTTGTATTTTTAAAATGCATATAAGGTGAAATATATGGGCTCATTCACCTATCATGTGGACCTTTCAAATATTATGAATTTAATAGATGCATCTACAAAATGACTACATATTTGTCTATCTTGACATTTGTGAGATTGTTTGCTCAAATGATAATAGTAAGAGTACAATAAAGACAATTCGTCTTCATAATGCTGGTGAATTTATATATTAGCAAAATTATTTATTAAATGTCTCCAATTGATTACTAGAACTTTTCGTATGAGAACAAAACTTCCTATTTTTGCATGGGGATGTGTTATATATTACGCTGTAGTACTTATACGCATCATGTCAATAAGTTATCATCTCTCTATTACATTGGCTTCTGGTCAGGAGCCAAATATAATTTCTAAATGTGTGATCCATATTATAATTACTCCACCACAACGCACAAAGATGAATCCCAAAATATAGTTGGGAATATACATTGGATATGAATCTCCTTATATCTTGAAATAATGACTGGAGATTTAGTCAATTCAATAATGGATTACTGTTATCAATATTTCCAACAAAAAGGGGAGAGAATAAATAGTTGAAAAAATATATTAATAAAAATGCATTATCATTATCTCATATAGATCCTCACACAAAACAAATATGAGAAAATGATATTATATATTGACGGCTAATGGTTTAACTGACCAATAAGTCTAATATTCCAACTGTAAATGCTCCAATTCATATTGTACATAGAAAAATGATCAGTTCCAAAGATAAAAATCCTCAAAAAGGGAGGAAATGAGCAAATGATTAAGATGGTCATAATATGGAGACAATTCTTAATCCTAAAGACATAACTTTCATTAAACCTCGAGGAGGTTCAGGTACCTGAAAATAAATAAAAATGAAGAGATCTATATTGGTTATGTCATTATAGGGAAAAGTTGGAATCGTAAAGATATAGATGACAACAATATTTTTGTATAAAATGAAATGATGAAATAAGACGAGGATCTTAAAGATAAATTTGTCGATGATGATTGGCCAGAAAATATAAAGACGCAATTCAAATTCAAAGTTTTTGGATCTATAATCCAAACATATGAAGGTGTAAAGCCAACTTGGGTACAAATGTGCAAAAAATTATAATGAAAAAATGAAGTCGTAAGATATAAAACATGACTTGTGGCAAAATAATTTTCACAAAAGCCTGACATTTATTATATGAAAATATATTCTCTTGTGGTGGATGCAATCACCTTCAGGTATCTTATTAATCAGGAAGTATATGAAAAATCGAGATGCGTCTAATGGATGCTATTATAGCTTATTTATATGGCTTATTCGATCAATAATGAAATTTATATGAAAATCGTAGAAGGATTTAAAACTCTTGAAGCAAATAAGAATTCCCGGAAAATTTGTTGAATAAAGCTTCAAATATAATTAAATGGATTAAAGAAATAAAGGCATATGTGGTATAATCGCCTTGATAAAATATTTATCAGTCGAATTATAATTTAAAGAGATTATACATGGATAAAGCAAATTCAATGAGTACCCCAATGCTTATGAGATTGCTTGACATAAATAAGGATCCATTTCGACCCTATGAAAATGAAGAAGAGCTTCTTGGTCTTGAAGTACCATATCTTAGTGCAATTGGGGCACTAATGTATCTTGCTAATAATATACGTCCAGATATAGTATAATGACCCCCATCGGGTAAATCTTAATTAGATATTTAATTAAGGATTTAAATGTCATAATTAGATTCAGAACGTAATTTTGAGTATTTTGACTGTAATCATGACCTAGAACAATGTTTTATGTCGGTACTCTGCATTATGTGTAGCAACCGGGTAGAGCGTGTAATGAGAAAAATGAGGTTAGAGACCTAATTTGGCAATTCTGATGCCAAATATGAGTTCAGAACAAAAATTGTATACTCTGGTACTTTCCGTGAAAATCTCGTGAATAATATTTTTTGCCGGGTATTTTATACCGCTGTTTAAGCAACCAGTAGAGTCCATAACTAAATAATTGATGAAAGAAGAATAAGAAAGTTCAATATATGTCAAACAAGTCAAAATAGACCCAAGAATGATAAGTTTTTAAGTTTTAAGTTTTCGTATGCAAACGATGCACAATTAGTGATTCACAGTGCATTTCATCAAAAACGGTGCAAAAACCCTACTGTGAATTATTAATATTGTTCCTTAGGGAATAAAAGTTAATGTAAATGAGTTCAGAAAAATAAAAATATGTTTGTAGCTTTAAGTTAGTGTCGGGTCAATTTAAGTGAAATTAAGTGAGAGAAAAATAACCGGTAAAATGCCACATGTGCATAGAAGTCTAAGTCACTAAAGCATAGCAGTATTCACTTCAGATTTTCCTCCTTCTCTCTTTCCTTGGTCGAGCTTCTCCTCCATGGAAGGGCTTAGGTTTTCTTTTTTTTTTCCCTTGATTTCTCACTACACAATCATCCAAATCCTTAGGTGCATTACATGAAATTTATAGTAAATCACCCAAGGAATCCATTCCACCACTTTGTTTGGGCTAAAATTGCTTGCAGGAAGAGTTCTTCCTCCTCTAAAACTCGTGGCACTATTCATCCAAGTGTAAAAGTGTGGATTTTGAGTGAGCCAAGCTTGGGTTTTGTTCCTTAGACATTGTATAAGTGATTTGAGGTAAGAAATCCTCATTCCAATGGTTTGATTTATATGATTTAAGTTTTGAAGATTATGATCACTTTTGGTGGGAAATATTTAAGTTTGAAATTTGAATTGGTTGATGAATTAGTGTTGTATATGAAGTGTGAAGGTGAGATAAACATGATTATGTGTATAAATTTTGAAAAAAATTCCCTTGGACCACCACACTAGGTTCGGCCATACTGGGCATATAGGGGTTTAGGGTGCAAAAAAATTAAATTGAATAATTAGTGGAGGTTTATATGTATGCATAAGTTATGAATTAAGTGTTAAATTAAGAATGCAAAGAGAAAAATCCCTTGGAAACCTTCCCTTTAGATTTCGACCTATAGGGTTAATTAGGGATGAATTATGTTAAACTTTGTTTTGGTGATATGTTGAGGTTCCAATGCATGACATTGGTATAATTATGAAGATAAATGGCTTAAGAAATGACGAAAGACATCTTGGTTCCCTATATGTGTACCCCACGACCTTGTGAAGAAAAAATGGGCATGAGTTATGTTTAAAATTCTTAAGTGGATACATAGTTAACTTAGGGATCAAGTGTGAGTTCTAGGAACTATTGGTTGTGTCAATTGATTTGATGCAAAATCCCTAGCTTCCCCCTGGTGTTGGCTTCGCCCATGTAGGTTTTGTGGGGTTAGGAAATGTTAAAATTATAAAATGGTATTTTAGAAGCTTGGTTGGGTCATTTTAAGACCTTATGTGAGTATGAAACCATGTGGTTGCTTGTGGTTCAAGTAATCATCCTTAAAATGGTCTAACAAAGGAATTTAAGAAATTATGGTCTTGACTTGTGAATTGACATATGTTTGGCATAAGTGTGAAGAAATGAAAGTAAGCAATAAAGTGTATGTCTTGTGTAAATTACATGGCATTGTACCATTTTATTTGTTTTATTTTGAATTCTTTCTCTAGGTGTCCCAGGGACCGGGAACGTTTAGATTCTCATGGAGCAAGATAAGTAGCTTGTTCTTCAAGTAAGCAAATTATAAAG